ACTACCGTTCGCGCTCTTTACGAAACTGCTTACTTTTTTGAAAAATGAAATGGTCTTTCCTTTTACTCCCAATCAACAATCAAATATATTTTTCTTGAATTATGAATAACACTAATGGATTGAAATATTTAATTAAATTATCTCAAAATAAACCTTCATTTCTGTGCAATATTGAAATTAGCTTGAATTCTTCATAACCTCTGAATAGTGGTTGACCCAACGGGTCATGGTGGTCTAGTTAACATATAAAGTGTCATTTACATACCTTCAATAGTATAATGGTTTAAAAGACTATGGACATTCCTTTAACTATTGTTTTTCCTGAAAAAAAAGGAAAAGATTGGCCAGTGAAGGAGCCAGTCTAGAGCCCATAGCTGCACCATCAATCTAATCATAAATATTAGTAACAGACACAAAATTATTTTCTATGATATCAATAATTATTAACTTCCAAAACACAGGTTTTGGAGTGTTATAAAGAATTAGTTCAACACTTGATTGTATTACTTCTTCCAAAGGGATGTTAGTATACAGAAACTCAACATCTAAACTACTACAATAAACCTTACTATCAAACTTTAAGTTGAAAACTTTTCTTCAAGATATATCATTATTAATATAGTCTTTCAGAAAACCAACTACATTACCTTTTAGTGCATCATTATAAATGCTGGCATTTGAAACTGTAGACCATAATGGACATATTTTTATTCACTTAAGGAAGTCCATAAAAAAAATTCCTAGATTACTTCCTGATAATCTAATTTCTAACTTAGAAGCAGTATTCAAAGCTTTTATGAAGTATTGTAAATATTTATAGACCCGACTTGGATTGGTTTTACCAGACACCTCTGTTGTATTTGAGAAGGGAGAAGGTTCAGCAGTTGTTCTCGCTGGCCACTGTAAAAGGTAAGTTTCAAGATTTTGGTAAATCTTAAATTTTACACAGTGTGAAAATATTGGGGATGGTAAGCTAGAATTGAAGTTGTTTTTATCTGATAAATATTCATATTCTAACAAACTAGAAAATTTACACACAGAATTAAAATTAAATTTATTTGTACATTTCTTTTTTAAGGAAGAAGCAAGCATTAAACAGCAAATAAATTGTTAGATTTTATATAATAAATTACTTATTTACAATTTAGTAAAATTAAATAACCTTACCAGCATTCCACTGCTCCAGATTTCTGTTTTGAAATTTTATTGCTTCAAATACTATAACTAAGTTAATCCAACCATTAATTCTAAAGAATAACTGCTGTAGAATACTTCCAGTAATTATTTTATCAGTTAATTTGATAAGGAATAAACACAAATGAGTACTTTTTCATATCTTTATAAGTAGATAAAACCATGATGATGTTAACAATAAACCTACTTCTTTCACTACATAAGAACAACAGGTTGTGTTTTTGTTCTGTTGAAACATTTAATAAGTTGCTGTTTTTTTTTGCAAATTATGTAGATTGTTTTGAACAAAAGTTAAGTATTTCAAATATCATGAAATGATAATTAGTAAAGATAAATACACTTTGGTTTAGTTAAAAAATAACAAAAGCACAAACAAAGTTTCTGTTTCTTTTGTTTTGCTAAATTTTATTTATTTTGGACTTTTTTCAATTAATAATCTGTAGTTTGTATTTAGAGCATTTTTATGAAAAATATTATCTTGCATAGTAAAATAGTGCGGCAATCTATCATCAATCCTGACTGGGATTTCCAGAAAATGGGTATTGGAGGATTAGATAGAGAATTTAATGCCATATTCCGAAGAGCTTTTGCATCTCGAGTTTTTCCACCAGAGGTTGTGGAGCAGTTGGGTGAGTGGACACTTTTAATTTTATTGGTTTCATTGTATTTTTTAGACATATTCATGTAATTTAAATGTGCTTGAGATGTATAAACAATCAGCTTTCAGTTTGGACCATAAACTAAGATTTTTCTTTTTGCATGCTTCACATTTTTTAGGGTATATGTTTAAATTGTTCTTGACTGCCTGACAAATTATAGTTTTAGCTGTCTAAAGTTAGGATATTTTTGGGGCATTTTGGTGAAACTAAATAGCTGTGTGGGAACACAAATGGGTCATATTAAAAATACACAGTGGTAAAAAGCATAAAGATTTAGCTGATTTAATGAGAAATGTGTTAGAAAAAGCAGTCAAGAATATTAACTCATCAGTTTGTTTAGGTATGCTTTGCACATACATTTGTTAACACATTTTAATCCTAAGATGTAATGCCTAATTTTACAAGTTGCATTAATTGTTTTTGTTTGTAAACCATTTGTTTTAAAATAAAACCTTATTATGGCTTTAAGCCTCCAGATCAAGACCCAAAAGCCAGGATTTGCTTGTCAATTTTGTTTATTTTCATTACAATTCTCTTTTACATGGCAGTTTTTTTGTTGGTCAAAATTGTCATATAGTATATCATAACATTTTAATTTAGTGATACCATAAGTAACTGTGCACATTAAAATTGATCCTTGTTTGCCCTCTAAGCATTGCTAAAAAACTATTTGTTGCCAGCATTTCAGTCTTTATACCCCATCAGTTTCGCGGCATGTACTTATCATGTGACTACTCTCCACCAAAAGTATTGCATAATCTATACTGGCACAGCTAGCTTCCTCTGCTATTCCCACTCAGTTCTCACTTTCTTGGTTGGCATAACTTTGTTTAGACATGTGATTAAACTTTCCAAGTGTGACTACGATTTTTGCTTGTGATTTTTTACCGTTTCTGATGAAGTTTATTTACCAATTTACGTGTTCGAATTTCAATTGTTTACACAATGTAGCATTCAAATAATTTGTCTTTTCCAAATCCTACACATTATTAATATGAATTTGAAGTTAAATGTGGTGGACAATGAAATTCCCGCAACAGGAGACGACACACACACAGCATGATTTCCCAGGATGCAGAGTCGACTTTATTTGCCGAGGAAGTACAAGTCTTGGTATGCAGGAAATTAAGTGTCCTCCAATCGGACGGCAAGTTCTCTTCCTTTTCCACCTGAACCTCTTTCTGAGGAAGACCTCCACCCAAATAAAGAAAATTTTTCCGGCACCTTCCTTTATTGGTCCATGACATTCTACACCCACTCAGGAGATTTCATCTCCCACTCCTTTCTTGCAACTGGTTAATCAGGTATGTCATGTTTTGAGTATTTCTCCTATGGCCTATGATTTCTCACCTTCTTTACTGAATGAAATTCAACCTTCAGATTATCATATTTTTCCTCCTTCACCCAACATAAGTGTTGTTTCTCAGAAATTTTCTGACCAACTACAGTTGGGGTGTAGGCATGCCCCATCCTCCTCATTTGTTGGACCAATATGCCTTGGCTTACCATTGAGCCTTGGATATATTTTTTTTTATTCTCAATGTTTGGATCCTCTCCTAACCCTGTTGGGTTGAATCCTGGGGTTTCAGTCCACTTTTATCAAGCTCAGTTTTCTAGGAATCATCTTGCCCTGACCTCCCTTTGGTGTTATCTTTCCTCCCTCCAAATAATGTCAGAAGCCTTTCATCAATCCCCTGAAGCCTTTTCTGATGAACACAGGACCCCTCCTGTGGCCCACTATGGCTCGTTTATCTGCCTCCACCCTTTCTCTCAATACCTGGCTGTTGTATTGTTGGGACATTTTAGAGAGGGATGCATTACTTGAGCGAGTGTGTCTTCCCTTTCCTCCCTACAGGATCTCTGTCAAACTCCATTTCTAGATGAAACCATTTTTGGAGGTCATCCAGATTCCTTCTCAGATTGATGTGGCTAGGTTACATTCTTTATTCTTCCTGACCATGCAGTTGTTTCATTCTCATGTTTTCTACCAGGATTCTTCTGTCCTGGTTTCCTGCCCTCCTGCTTCTACATCCCACCCATTACCTTCCTCCAGGTGTTCGCATCCCTATCCTACTTTTTTAGCCCCCGTTTGACCAGAAGCCAGCATTATCAGCAACATGACAGAGGTTCCTGGTTTGGTTGGGTCCAGATTGCAGCACTTCACAGCAGATCCATGGGTTTACAGGTTCTGTCCAATGGTTTCTGCCTTCAGTTCCAGTCCCCAACCCCCATTCCCTTTCTTCCCTCTTGGGATTGTTCCTCTCTCTCATCTTTCTGAAGTCATTCAAGACCTCCTGCACAAAAGAGCTATTGAGAGGGTGTTGCCCATTCAACTGGGGTTTTATCCCCCCCCCCCCTTTGTTGTTCCCAAGATGATGAGTGATTGGAGGCTAGTCATAGACCTGTTCCAGTTGAATTCCTTTCTGGACCCCCTCACTTCACTATGGAATCTTGTCTCTCACTTTGGGAGGTGTTTTCCCCAGGACCCTGGATGACCAAATTCGATGTAATGGATGCCTATCTTCACATTCTGATTGATCCAGAGTGACATCATTTTCTTCAGTTCATCCACATGGTCATGTGTTCCAGTTCAGGCCACTGCTGTTTGGTCTCTCTTTGGCTCCTTATGTGTTTTGTCGAGCGGTTCGCACATTTGTTCGTCACCATCACTTGTTGGGTCTTCAAATTCACATTACACAGACAACTGGCTACTGCTCGCTTCTTCCCATGCTCACTCAAATGATCACACATGTTTACTTCTCCAGGAAGGAGCATGGGTGGGTGTTCTGATGAAGTTGGACAACTCTATCTCCACATTCCAATTGCTCCAGAGTCACATCATTTTCTTTGATTCATCCATGAGGGTTGTGTGTTCCAGTTCAGGACACTGATTCGAACTCAGTATTACATGGACAACTGGCTCCTGCTCACCTCTTCCTGTGCTCAGTCAGATGAATACATGTTTACTTCTCCAGGATGCAGCAAAGGTGGGTTTTCTGATCAAGTTGGAGAAGTATATTCTTACCCCTACACAATTTACATCTCAGTCGGGACCAGTTTTCTTCTCTTCATCTCAGGGATATGGAGCAATTAGTCACAAAGGCCCATACCTCTCATTTTCTCACTGCACGAGAAGTTCTATCGCTTTTGGAGATGTGGGCTTCCTATGAAGCTCTCATTCCCATGGGTCGAGCTCACATGCGTTCACTTCAGTAGACACTCTTCAGTCAGTGGAACTTTTCATTCAATCCTTTGGACCATCCTCTTACCTTTCCTTCTGTGTTCAGGGTCGACCTTTCTTGGTGACTCAAAAGGGACCAGACCATGGTGGGGTTACCATTCCTCCACTTTGTCTGGAGTTATATCTGTTCATGGATGCATCTTTGGTAGGTTGGGGGAGTATTTCCTCAATTCACAATAGATTTCTGGTCTGTGGTCAGTTGAGGAGTCTGCACTCCACATCAACACCCTTGAGCTCTTAGCAGTTCATCAAGCTTTGACCCATTTCCTTCCACTCCTGAGGGGTTGGGTAGTTATGGTACACTCACACGATTCCACTGTTGTCAGTTATTTCACCAAGCAACAGTGGAATTGTCTCTGTGTTTTTGGACTCCGGATCTTCTTTTCTGGGCCCACCATCACCTCCTGGTGGTCTTTGTTTGTCATATTCCTGACACTATGAATCTGGTTGCCAATTGTTTATCTTGTCTCAACTAGGTTCTCTCCACAGAGTGGTCCCTTCATCCACAGGTCTTTTGGTGGGTGTGTTGTCAAGTGTGAACCCCTCATATCGATGTCTTTGCCACTCACTGGAACACACTTTTTTTTTCTTTTGGTCTCCTGTTCCACACCTATCAGCTGTGGGAGTAGATCATTCAGTCAGGATTGGAGGGGACTTCACATCTATGCTTACTTTCTGATCCCACTCGTATCCAGAGTTCTATCCCTCATCCAGACAACTCCTTGTCTAGTCCTGCTTGTTGTTCCATTTTGGCCTGTTTAGCTGTAGTTCCCTCTACTTTGGACTTTACTTGTGAAATATCCCCTGCCCTTACCTCTGTCTCAATCGCTCCTCTGTCAACCTCGATCAGACATTATTCATCCCGATGTCGCCAAGCTTCATCTTCACGCTTGACTTTTGTCAGGTTCATTGCCTCAGCTCATGGCCTTACTCCTCGAGTCCTGTCTTCTCTTTCCCGAACCATCAGAACTTCATCCTTGACCATTTATCAAAGGCATTGGTCTGTTCACTGTGGCTTCTGTTCCTCCTGTTCTTCAGTCCCTCAGCATTTCCAATTCTTCACCTGGTTGTTTGACCAGGGTTTGTCCATTTCAACTGTATCTAGTTATCAGGCTGCCCTGTCAAACGCCTTCTGTTCCTCTCAGTTCTGTAAGGTTTTTCCCCTTTCCTGTTATTTCCCTCATTTTCCATTCCTTTCATATTGTCCATCCTCCACTTACCTTTGTTTTACCGGATTGGGACTTTAATGTGGTCCTATATGCCCATTCTTGTTCTCCCTTTGAACCTCTTGCTACGTGTTCCTTGTACCATCTTTCCCTTAAGACCTATTTCATCCTCCTCCTCACTTGTGGTTGTCATCATTTGGATATTTATGCCATTAATGTTTCCCTCACTCTTTACCATACCTTTATGTGATACTCTATCCTGACCAGTCCTTCCTCCCCAGTACCTATGCTGCCAAGGAAAGTGTTTTGGCTCTCATACCCATTTCTTGTGTAGTGATTCTACACACATCTGTTCACCTTTGCTAGGTTAAGTCTGATCACTTCCTTTCTTTTATGTTTTCTTTTTAGTTCCCTAATCGTAACACCTTTACAGATCTCTCCCTTGTGTCGGGTGTTGCCTAGTCAGACATGCTTTACCTCAAGCCTGCAGTAGTTTTCAGTAACTATATAATGCTCACTGTTGAGATAGGGTGTTTCTGTCAGACCACTGCCTGCTTACCCAATGGTATATATATATACTAGATATCAATCAATTTCAGTCTATGATGGACAATCACTCATGATGGACTTCATGACTAAAGCAGAAGGGGATATTTGCCCATCTGTGCCAACCCTTTGATAGTATATATCAGAGTTGGTCTGCTTTCAGAATAGGGAATTGCAGGCACCTGTTGCATAGTCTCCACTGTGATGTTCCTCCAGACACCCCCTTTCATCTAGTGGAGCACAGGAATCCTTACCACTCCCAGTTACCAGTTGCTGGGGTGGTGGTGGACCATGGAGGATTCCTCCTGAGTGGGTTTCCATATTTACTTTCCAATATTCATGTTTATCCACTCAGTGAGAATAGGGCTAAGCTGGTTAAACTACTTTTAGACCTTATTCAATACCTTATTCAATTAATCTGAATGTTTTTGCCCAGGTGTACTGCACTTGACAAAATCACTTACTCAGTTATATAAGGTGCTTAACCTGGATGTTTTTGCCCTATTGAACTGCTTTTGACACAATTACTAAATTAATGTATGATGTACTTCCCCTGGATGATTTACATGGGCAGACCGCATTGGTGTATGGTGCATTTCCCCTAAATGTTTTTGCCTTAGTGGACTGCACCAGACAAAATATTTTATTCATTTTATAATGCCCCCCCCCCCCCCCCCACACACACACACACAAATTAGTGTCTGCATAATCATGACTGCATGTAATGTGTCAAGACAATTTAATATTTGGCTTACTCATGGAACATCAATGCTGTAACTTAAGACACAACATGATTTACATGTCATAAGGATTTACAAAACAAGCTACTTGCAAAATGTGTGTCAACAGTAATTATATGGGGAAGCTACCTATATAGAGAAATGAATAAGTATATTTAATAGCTAATGTTAAAAAAACAAATATTTGATTAACACACCATACACATCTGTACACTTTAATGTTCGAGGAAAATTTAAACTAGTAATCCAAAATGAAATAGATAGATTATATCATACATGAACAATGTGTAAACTTTTCACTTTTTAACTCAGAAATTGTGTTTATTGTGTGGCCTCTCATAGTTTGTGATAATTTGCATTTTTGGACTCATTTTAAAACCACCTTTGGATTATAGTTTTATTTTATTTAAATTTAAAAAACTTAAAACATGTCAAACATAATTTTTATTAGAATAAAAAAATCTTAAGCTCAATTCAGACTTTTTCTGGAGTGAATTAAGTATATGTATGTCCGAGGTCCAACTAAAAATATTTGTATAACTTCTGTTTTGTGAGAAGCCTCAATGTGTTTTCATTTTTACCCATCAGCTATCATATTTTGCTATTTAAATAATAAGATCTTTTTTCTTCTTTTTTTAACAAAAGTTATAATGTGAGTGGCACTTTTTGTCTTTCAAACAGCACACCTGAATACAAGTCCTGGACTTCCCCTTTTAATATTCACAATAGTTGAACTGTTCTATGCAAAGTATCATATGTCCCTAGCTAGAAATGTTTGTTATGGTGTATCAGTCTGTTAGTTTTCCAATTCAATATAATATAACTTTATATCTCAATATAAACATATCTAACTGTTAATAAAATAAATTTCTGTCATCAAATAAATTATCAATATTTTTTATCATGTATATAGATTTTACTTTTGGTCACAGAAAAATTCTTCCAACTCATGTTCAATAAATTCATGTATATTTTATTAAGTCTTATCAATAACTAGTAAAAGAAATATAAAGAGTTTGTATTTGACTAATTCAGGTGTTTTGCTGTTACTTATTAAATTGTTAGGTTTGAAGCACGTGCGAGGAATTTTACTATTTGGGCCACCTGGTACGGGTAAGACACTAATGGCTCGGCAAATTGGTCAAATGTTAAATGCTCGAGAGCCGAAGATAGTGAATGGTCCCCAGATCTTGGACAAATATGTTGGAGAATCAGAAGCAAACATCAGAAGGCTTTTTGCAGAAGCTGAAGAAGAAGAAAAGAAAGTATGTAGTCTAATAGTAAAATCAAATTTTTTGGTCAAACATTAATATATATATATATATATATATATCAGATATGAAGTGTTTAAAAATAAAGATATGACTGTACTATAATACATGTTTTATGTTAAAACCTATTCTATTTTTTTTCTACCACAAAATTTTAATCGATAAATTACAGACCGACAGTCAGACAGACTCAAGTAATGGGCTCTGTGATAACAAAAATCACAAATATAAGAATTATAAAAGCATAGCTGCTAGAAGCAGGAGTTAATTTAAAAACTGAAAAGTGATTTATAGTTTTAGAAAACAAATTTATTTTTTTCAGTAAAATCTTTCCACTGAAAAAGTGTACAAACTTTCTGTCTTGATTGTAATAAAACTGAGTCATAATTTCAAGGAGCTTCTTTCAAGCCTCTCAATTTTATGTTAAAACACATTTACTTTTAAGTTAGTTAATATATATATATATTTATTTTACAAAAACACTTTCTAGTAATTAGTGTGGCATCACTGATTGCCATGTTGTTATATATATACAATACATACCATGTTTCTTTGGTAAAAATAGAGGTAAACAATTTTTTTGCCTGAAAAATTGTGATTTGTTTAAGTTTTAAACATTGAAAATTCATAAGGAAATTAAATGAAAATTAATGAAATAAAACATTATGCTTGATCAGTTAAAGTGCACATTATATACTGATCACATTGAAAGAAAACCAAAGCTCAAAAGGGCAAAATAATTTTAACAAAATAAATGCATACATAAATATTTGCCCCCCAGTGGCACAGCGGTAAGTCTGCGGACTTACAACGCTAGAAACCGGGTTTCAATACCCGTGGTGGGCAGAGCACAATGCCCTTGTGTAGCTTTGTGCATAATTAAAAAACAAACAAACAAACATAAATATTTATCTGTATTAATATGCTACAAAACTAATGTCAAAGACAAGGTTCTCTGACTCACCTTTTGCATTTTTCAGTATGCTATCTTTTTTAAGCTTGGATTTTCCTAACTTTTATAATTCATTTAATTTTTGGTTAACCTTATATCTATCCAAAAGAAATTATTTTATTTACTCCTTTTTTTCAGCTTGGCCCTAACAGTGGATTGCATATTATCATCTTTGATGAAATTGATGCCATTTGTAAAACTAGAGGCTCTGTAGTAAGTGTAGAATATTTTTAAATTTCAGTGAGTGAAAGTTTTAATCTTAACACTTCATTAAAGGCTAGACTAAAGTTTAACTATAAAGATACAAATGAAACAGCTTGTAAATATCCTTTCAAAAAGGTTGTATACAAACAAGTTTACCCATTCTCTTTATGTCCACATTTTTGTTGAGAGAGATAAATGACCCTCAGGTTTTATCTGTTATGAAGAACATTTGTGTTTGTTTACATATCCATCCCCTTCTAGATAGAGAAATAGGAAATTAAACTGTAATTATAAATGTATACTTCTGAAAATGTCCTGTTGAGCACAGCTGAGGTTGATATGAAGCAATTAATATTATCTTTTTTATAAATAAAGCATATAGAACTTATAATAATAATAATCTGTTTCCAGGAGCCAAACTAATTGTAACTTATTTCTTTCAACTGTGATAATCTTAACCTGTTTTATTTCTCTTATTGTCTACTGAACAGTAATCAACACAATCTGTGACCAATAAATATTTAAATTCATTCCATATTCTAGAGAAAGTTAAAAGAAAGAAATATATAATTACAAGAGTTCACTAATTACTATTGTTTATCATAATTTAAAGTATATACTCCTTATTACCAAAATACCACCATGTAAAATTTAGAAACTATAAAATCTTAACACATCTAGCTTTTTAACAAGTATTTTAATAAGCTGTTAATTTTTCTTTTTTCACAAAGGTTATAAAACATCCAAGTAAAATCATTCAAAACTTATTGAACTACAGTTTGTCCTTCTTGTCTAGGTTAAAAGAACTAGGCTTATGATAGTAACTAATGCAATAATGCTATAAGCCAGGAACCAGCAAGTTCAGAAAAGATCAACACAAGAGCTTTTCCTCTTAGGAATTAGTTGTATAAGGGTTATGTTATTTTTATGTAATTTACTTGAAAATATGTAATAATAGTAAATTTAAAAAGAGAAGTGCCTGTTGTTTGACACGTGAACCTATTTATCTACTGTGAAAATCCCAAGGAATTTAAAAACAATAGTATCTACCATTATGAAAACTTGTTACCCTATAAGTTGCATAGGGGAGATTAATCTAAGCCTAAGAAACGTGAATACCAGATAGAGGTCAGTTTTCATCACAACCAGGTATTTATAATTATTGTTACAAGAATTTTGTATCATTCACTGTAAAAAAGTTACAGAAAACAACATATCTATATTTTTAATGGCTAATTACCTTTGTCAGTTCTATTAAAAATTTCTAATTCTAGGATTTTTGCAATTACAAAGTAAATAAGTTGTAATTTTATTTCAAAGTCAGAAGAAATATATTCCATAAATTTCATTTTTAGGGTTGTCTTTTGAAAATATACATGAATGAGAAGTAATAAGGTGGTGCTAATGAATACAAGTTGTATGAGTATTTTGAGTTTTATAAATGTTAGTATATATATAGTGTTTATAAACATTCTAGGCAGGAAACACAGGGGTTCATGATACTGTGGTAAACCAATTGCTGGCTAAAATTGATGGAGTTGAATCACTGAACAATATTCTTGTTATTGGTATGACAAATCGACGAGACATGATTGATGAAGCTCTTCTTCGACCTGGAAGGTTGGAGGTTCAAATGGAAATAAGTAAGTTGATAAAGAAGTTGTTTTTTAGTAGGTCAATAGAGATTGGAAAATCACTGTGCTTCAGCAAATTCAGTTATCACTTTTAATAAATAAATTTATTTAATTTGATTTTAAAATATTTTGTCCTGAATGACCTAGGTCTGCCAGATGAACATGGAAGAGTTCAGATTCTTAATATTCACACCACACAGATGAAGACACATGGAAAATTAGCTGAGAATGTAGATATCAATGAATTAGCTACCCTCACTAAGAATTTTTCTGGAGCTGAGATAGAAGGCTTGGTACGTGCAGCCCAGTCAACTGCAATGAACAGACTCATTAAGGTAAGTTGTGTGCATCTACCATACTGTGATATTTACTAGTGGTTCTCATGCTTTAAGTATAGTGACAGTCAGTACGAAGTTGTTGGAGGCTGTAGATGACTACTTGTTTATTATTGGTTCTAATGCTTTAAGTACAGTGACAGTCAGTATGAAGTTGTTGGAGGCTGTAGATGACTACATGTTTATTATTGGTTCTCATGCTTTAAGTATAGTGACAGTCAGTATGAAGTTGTTGGAGGCTGTAGATGACTACTTGTTTATTATTGGTTCTCATGCTTTAAGTATAGTGACAGTCAGTACTAAGTTTTTGGAGGCTGTAGATGACTACATGTTTATTATTGGTTCTCATGCTTTAAGTATAGTGACAGTCAGTATGAAGTTGTTGGAGGCTGTAGATGACTACTTGTTTATTATTGGTTCTCATGCTTTAAGTATAGTGACAGTCAGTACTAAGTTGTTGGAGACTGTAGATGACTACTTGTTTATTATTGTTTCTCATGCTTTAAGTATAGTGACAGTCAGTACTAAGTTGTTGGAGGCTGTAGATGACTACTGATTTATTATTGGTTCTCATGCTTTAAGTATAGCAGTCAGTACTAAGTTATAGGAGACTGTAGATGACTACTTATTTATTAGTGGTTCTCATGCTTTAAGTATAGTGACAGTCAGTACTAAGTTGTTGGAGACTGTAGATGACTACTTATTTATTAGTGGTTCTCATGCTTTAAGTATAGTGACAGTCAGTACGAAGTTCTTGGAGGCTGTAGATGACTACTTGTTTATTATTGGTTCTCATGTTTTAAGTATAGTGACAGTCAGTACTAAGTTGTTGGAGGCTGTAGATGACTACTTATTTATTAGTGGTTCTCGTGCTTTAAGTATAATGACAGTCAGTACGAAGTTGTTGGAGGCTGTAGATGACTACTTGTTTATTATTGGTTCTCATGCTTTAAGTATAGTGACAGTCAGTACTAAGTTATAGGAGGCTGTAGATGACTACTTGTTTATTATTGGTTCTCATGCTTTAAGTATAGTGACAGTCAGTACTAAGTTATAGGAGGCTGTAGATGACTACTCATATATTTGTAAATAAGAATCCATTTATGGCTCTTTTTAAATGTATCTAAATACTATGAGTTTAAGTTATGAAAATAAAAATTATGACTAATAAGATATACACTACTCTCTAGAAATTAGCAACTTACCTAATTAATGTTTATAATGTGTACTGTGGGTTCAATACAATCAATAAAAATAGACATTTAATGGTTTGAAATGTCAATGTTTATACATCACATTTAATAGATGATAATATAGAGTAATTCAAAATATTTAATATACCCAGTGATGCCTTTTTTGATATTTTATTTTCAGTATGACTATAGAATCTTTCAAATTCCTTAACACAAACTTGAAAACCTATATATCAAATATATATTTATATATATATTTGATTTATGTAGTTTTTTTTGTAAGTAGTTGTAATTAATACAACTGATAATGTTATTTTTGACCACCTCTTTTCTTTTAGTTTAAAAATTAGGTTAAGAAAGAGAAGGTTTACTGCATTACCAAGGTAGAAAATTTTAAAAATGTACTCTCAGTTGTCCATGTTTTCCACACTTCTGTACAGGAAAACAACCATTATCTGCTGCAACCATTTTACAGTTTTATGAAAACATTAAAGTATGTGGCAAGTTCAGGTCAGATAAACTAAAATCAATAGAAATAAAATTAATTGATTTATTACTTAGCGCTATAGATTAGTGAGGTAGAAATATCATAATTACTGGCAATACATGTATCAATATAGAAAATAATTCCTTTGCGAGTTGTTAACGGATCTTATAGCCGATTCTTCAGAAATCGTTGTTTTACCACTTAATCATGGAGAACGTTATTCCTATCTCTTTCATTCACTTCCGACTTTCACAATCTAACCTTATCGTAAGTGTTGCTATGACAACCCGAAAATCAAAAAAGATAGAAAAAAACCTACAAAATTTGTACATGTTATAATAACTGTCCTGCAAATAATACAAGTACTCGTTTGGCTTCTTTTTTACAGTAATGCTTGGAGACAGCTTGAATGGGTAATGAAGAAAACTTTAATATAGGTTTAACATAACAGCAAATGTATAAAGTTTTGACAAGGTTTTGTCATCATTTAAACGGTCTCCAAGCATTATCAATGGAAATAGGTTCCACAAATTGAAAACTGTGCATTAAAAATACAGCAAACATCTTCATTTTATAATCAGAAAATACTTGTTGACATTTCAGGCTGCCAGTAAAGTCCAGGTTGACCCAGAAGCTATGGAGAAGTTGATGGTAACAAAAGAAGATTTCATGCATGCTTTGGAGAATGACATTAAACCTGTAAGTAGTATAAAAAAATTAGTTGTACAATGGAAAATTACTTATAAGTTTAGTCTAACCTGTTACTTAGCTTTCACAAGAAACAAATATGTTTACTCTTTAGTATAATGCCAAAGATTGTAATGTGTATGTACATATTAAGTCATCAAGAAATTAATATTGCGTTTTGGAACACTTTCATTAACCACTCCCCAAAAAACGTACATCACATATAATAGTGAAATGAACTGCATATATATCACACTAGTGTAGCCCATATAATGTGTAAAGTTTAGTATACTCTAATTTCTTATAGTGATGGTACATGACGAGACACACATTTGGCATGTAATGCTGTTTGAATACAAGAAGGGAAAAAATGTCTCTGTAGCCACAAAGAATATCAAAGAAGTTTATGGAAGTGTTTTGAACATTCGTAAGTGTCAACGATGGTTCAGCAAATTTCGATCAGATGACTTTAGCCTTAAAAACTGTAATGGCAGAGGCTGAGAGGTTGGAATTGATAT